TTTGTTTGTTTGTTTGTTTGTTTGTTTGTTTGTTTGTTTGTTTGTTTGTTTGTTTGTTTGTTTGTTTGTTTGTTTGTTTGTTTAGACTTGTCCATCCAGCCTTACATGCTGGAGCCAGAGTCTGACCCAAAGCCAGAGGAGAATGAAAGCCACCAAATTGTAGCCTTATTTATTAACCTTTTTAGCAGTTCCGTCACAAATACTGTGATGTAATAGTTTAGAAAGCGTCATTGAAAACAAGGCAGGTTGAATAATATGACCCAAACAGAATAGAAAGACATATTTGCAGCACCAGGAGAAACTAAATTCAACTTTTCTGCACTTCTAGAAACTCCACGCACACAACAAAATGTATTTAATGGCTAAAAAAAATGGATTTTGCATGAAATGTTCCCTTTGATGTAAACAAAGTTAGTTGAATCTGGCTAAAAGCTTATGAAGGTTTGACTCACTTGATGAACCTACATTAGGCTGAGCTCAGTTTATGTAGGTATAATTCTGAAAATGCCTTTTAGGTGAAAATATAAGAACGAATACTGTGAAACAAAAAAATAAATAAATAAAACTTGAGCTTGGCATTCAAACATGTGCAGCCTTTGCAAAACTTCTTCTAGATCGGTAAGTTTAAACATTTCACCCTGCCCTACATTTTTTTTTATTTTATACTTTACTCAACAAATCTGAATTTATAAAAGTACCAACACATCTAATGTTATTGGACATCTCAATCTCAAGCAGGTCTTTCATGGATGTTACCAGTGATTACCTATTTTCAGCAACTTTTTTCAGTTTTTCATTGGTAAACAAACACACACGGTTTGATGCAGGACAAACTTAGCTTCCAAATGTTTATTTTAACAACCGATATGAGGGGAAAAAAATCTATATTTGTTTTTTTTTTACTTTATGATTTTATTTTTTGATGGTCTTAATATTACAACGAGTACCAACTCAGAGCTTTGCATAGTCCAACTTTCATTCAGAGATCTGTTAMGGTCTCTTTAACATATCGAACAAAAACAGTGATTTACCCATGATCATCTTTAATTTTRCCATGGCCATTTGACTTAACAGGTGTGTAAAGAACTGTTCAGATCTGTAGCCTGAATAATACAACTGATTAAGTTCTCAGATGAATGTTTGGATCCAAAGACTCCATTTCACTTCAAGCCTGTCTGTAGCTTCAGCTGAGTTGAGTTCTCATATTTTAAGGAAAACCTGGTCACCCTCCCTGGGGGTGGTCTCTGTTATGTCAGCGTTGGAATTCCTGAAATGTAAACCACTACATGTTTATCCTACTGGAGCGAGGCACATATTAAAAGAAACTTGTTGATTCTCTCACTGTTTAAATCAAACGACTGACTGATCACGAACTATAAGTTATAAGATTGGGCCTCATGCAAGAACCGTTCGTACGCACAGATTTGTTCTCAAATTGTGCGTACGAGTGATTTAGGAGAATTTGAGG